TGAAACCACTCACGACACGTTCTTTCACTAATAGCGGCCTCACCATAAGTATTTGAGAGCATTTGATGAGCCTCAGCCGCAGATTTCTTCATATTGAAGCAGAAAATTAAAACCTCCCCCAAATAACGAGAATTTGGCTCGTAAACTGACATTTTCAATCGAGAATAACTTTATGATGCAAACATAAATCGACTGATGTTTCTATGGGGTTATGTTGACAGATGCCCAAGTTTATTGTATGATGTCTATGATCTATTTATTTCGACCACCACTTACCGCTAAAGCCATCTATAGGAAAACGGCGGAAGCAAAGTTGTACACCTAATAATAACAAATACATTTTACAAATAAATTTAAAAAAAGTTACTATTCTCAATAAGAGAGAGTTTCTATACTTCCATACTTCTTTCATGATTAACATAAATCATATAAATAATACATCGATATAGTATAATATAATACTTACTATGCATCTAATTTAAATAGATTTGAGTTACATCACAGCGCAGATAAACGTGAACCCAGATAACATTTATGTTGCACAAGATATTTAAAAGAAAATCGTCTTTTGAATATCTTATACAACATGCATGTTATCTGAGAACTATTTTTACACAGAAATTAATCATTCAGAATGATCGTTTGCTTATCATTGGCCTCGGGAATTATATCTAAATAATGGGTGTGTTCCGATATACACTGCCAGTACTGGTAGTACTGAAAAATTGTTCCGCTATTACTACGCAACGCGCTGTGACAGCGTCTAGTTCCCTCAATAACGTCATAAATAGCCATATTGCCACTGCGACTACTGCGACTTTCGAGGTGAAGCAGTTACAGTGCAATATGGCGTCGCTTAAAGAAACACAACGCGTCAAAATATTTGATACAGGAAATAAACAAATATATACATTATATTTAATTGCAGAAGATACACATATATATTCATTTTACCGAAAAAGATTCCACATCTGAATATTTATTAGCTGTGTCTCCATATAGTTTTTAACACGAGGTTAAACTGCTTGAATTGGTGATCCCATAATTAGTACATCTTCTTCGGAAGAACTATCGCTGCTGTTTTCGTTCAAAATTTATTGACAATTTAGTACGTTTGTTCATATCTGTTTACACTGCCAGTCTACTGCAAAGTCGTTCCGAAATACGACGTTACAATAGTGCTGGCAGTACCACAGTAATTTTGGAACGGCTGCGGCAGTACACTGTTGTGACGTTATAATGGTTGCACTGCCAGTAAAAAGGGAGCACACCCAATATTTCTTACAATATCCCCACATAAAAATCCCTACCAGAATTTGATAGGGGAGACCGGGGACAAAAGTAACATTTTGACTTTGAAGTGTTATAACAGTTAAAATATAATATTGACATTGAAAAAAGTATATACCTTTAGATGTAGAACTTATTTAGGTACAAAATTTTCTTTAATTCAATTTTTCAATGTAACTAGAAAAACAGTTATATTTGTTTAAAGACTATGAGGAATTTTGTTACAACCGTTCCAACCCCTGGGACGATTGTAACAGTAGAGAGGGACAATTGTACCATACTATTTAAAAATAAAATAATGGTTATTTTATTGGTTTTATTAATAAAAATACATAATAAAGAAAGGCTCAAATAGTTCAAATAAAACAAAATAAATCAGAAGAGCTACGAGCCAAAACAAAACAAATTTTAATGTACATATGATACAGTTGACATTAAGTAAAATAAAAGTAAAAACAAAATAAAAAATGTCTACATCAAACTAAAAATATGTCTACATCAACTAACGTTTTGACCATCTTCATTTTCAAAGTTATAAACAAGTATGTATGGTATATGAAAGCGGTTGACTACAACAAATAGATCACTAATTATATATATAGAAATATAATGAAAATGATTAAAAATAGACCTTCGTTGTTCAGGCCTGATTTCAGTTATATGTAGTCGACGGAAGGTAGATCCTGGATTTACGCCAAACATTCAAATATCGCTGAGTATCCAACAATGAATAGATGTAGTTGTCAAAAAATAAATCCTGGATATACGCCATGGTTCGATTACAAAAAGTATTCGCCAAATATAAAAAAGTCGTTGATAATGCTATTAAGTAAGCCGAAGTAACAATCCTGCTTACAAAATCCAGATTCTACAGTATAAAATTGAATAACTGACCCCAGGCATCGATGTTACTATTGTCTCCTAATGACATT